CTGTATATGTTCGTTTGGTCCATCTGGTCCAATGTGTCATTCAAATCCGGTGTATCTTCATTGATTTTCTGTGTCAGTGATCTATCCATTGATGTAAGTGGACTGTTAAAATGTCCTACAATTATTGTATTACTCTCAGCTTTTCCCTGTTTGTATGTTAATATTTGTTTTATGTATTTAGGTGCTCTAATGTTGGGTGCATATTTACAATTTTAATCTCTTGTTGGATTGATCCTTCTGTTATTACATAACGCCCTTCTTTTCCTGTTGTTGCAGTCTTTGTTTTAAAGTCTATTTTGTCTGATAGAAGTATTATAAGTATTGCTACCCAAGCTTTTTTCCCCCTCATTTGCATGGAATGTTTTTCCATCTCTTCACTTTCAGTCTGTATGTGTCTTCTTGTCTGTAGCTAAGTCTCCTATAGGCAGCATATAGATGGGTCTCCTTTTTAATGCATTCAGTCACCCTGTGGCTTCTGATAAGAGTACTCAGACCATTCACATTTAAAGTAATTAATGATAGGTATGTACTTATTGTCATTTTGTTAATTTTTTTCTGATTGCTTTTATAGTTCTCTTGTTTCTTTATTCTCTTGCTCTCTTCCCTTGTGATTGGTAACTTTCCTTAATACTATGCTTCGATTCCTTTCTTTTTATTTTTTTGTGTAGCTTTTACTGGTTTTTGTGTTGTGGTTACCAAAAAGTTCATATATAACATCCTAAGTATATAGCAGTCTTTATGGAGTTGGTGGTTGCTTAAGTTCTAATGCTTTCTAAATGCACTGCATTTTTACTTTCTTACCTATCTTTTCTGTAAATTTTATCTCTTTATTTTGTGAATCCCTTAATTCTTTTAGATACAAATAATTTTACTACTGTTAGCTTTTAACCTTCATATTAGCACTGTATGTAACTGATGTACTGTTATCTTTGCCTTTACCCTTGAAAATGTTTTCCGTGCTTAATTTCCTTACCCTGAGTCTTGGCTAAGACCCTTTAACATTTCTTTTAAGGCTGGTTCATTGGTGGTAAACTCCTTAACTTGTTTGTCTGGGAAACTGTCTTTCCTTTTATTTTGATTGATAACCTTGTAGTGTAGAGTATTGGTTGTAAGTTTTTCCCTTTCAGCACTTTGAATATATCTTTTCCCTCTCTTTTGATCTGCAAAGTTTCTGCTGAAAAAGTCAGCTGATATCCTCATCACTTTGTTGTTGTTGTTGTTGTACATAATTGGTACGTACATAATTTGTTTCCTCTTGCTGCTTTTAAGATTTTCTCTTTATCTTTAATCTTTGACATTTTATTGTTTTAATGTTTATTTATTTTTGAGAGAGAGAGACAGAGCCTGAGTGGGAGAGGAGCAGAGAGAGAGGGAGACACAGAATCCGAAGCAGGCTCCAGGCTCTGAGCTGTCAGCACAGAGCCTGACCTGGGGCTCAGAAGTCGGACACTCAGTAGATTGAGCCACGCAGGCACCCCTAATCTTTGATATTTTAATTATGATGTGTTTTGGTATGGGCCTTTTGGGGTTTATCTTGTTTGGGACTCTCTGATTCTTGGAACTGGATGTCTATTTCCTTCCCTGGGTCAGAGAAGCTTTTAGCTATTATTTCTTCTTATAAGTTTTATGCCCCTTCCTATCTTAGGTCCTTCTGAGATCCTATAATGCAAATTTTAATATGCTTGATATTGTCACAGAGATCCCTTAACCCTAATTATTTTTGAAAATTACTTTTCTGGGGCGCCTGGGTGGCTTAGTCGGTTAAGCCTCCGACTTCAGCTCAGGTCACAATCTCACAGTCTGTGAGTTTGAGCCCCGCGTCGGGCTCTGTACTGACAGCATGGAACCTGGAGCCTGCTTTGAGATCTGTGTCTCCCCTTCTCTCTCTGCCCCTCTTCTGCTCATGCGTGCATGTTCTCTCTCTCTCTCTCTCTCTCAAAAATAAATATTAAAAAAAAAAGAAAATTCCTTTTATTTTTGCTATTCAATTTTGAATATTTTCTCTTACCTGTTTCCTGGATTGCTGATCTATTCTTCTGTATCCTCTAATCTCCTGTTGATTACTTGTAGTATATTTTTTTTGTTTCAGTTATTTTAGTTTTTCTCTCAGGTTTTTTAAAAAAAAAATACTTCATTTTTGTTGAAGTTCTTAGTGAGTTCATCTACTCTTTCAAGTCTGGTGAGCAATTTTATGATCATTACTTTGAAATTTTTGCCAGGTAGATTGCTTATCTCATTTGGATTTAGTTATTTTCTTGAGATTTTGTCTTAATTTTGTTTGTATATGTTCCTCTGCCCCCTTTTTTATTGGACTTTCTGTGTTTATTTCTGTGAATTAGGTGGAACAGCTCCCTCTCCCAGTCTGGAAGAAGCAGCTTTGTGCAGGCACACCGCTGTGCAGACTGCGCACAGTGGCCACCTAGCTGGCCAGGGTGGTGGCGGGCGTGCTTGTGGGTCCCAGGCACTCGCATCAGGGCTGTCCTGCTGGGCCCACGGGAGCTTGCGCTTGTGTGGGTGGAGAGGTCTCCTGCCGCTTTGTGCTTATGCCCCCTTGGTACAAGGACCGAGGACGAGGACCAGAGCCTTAGCAGAGGGAGGCCTGGTGCGCCCCGGTGTGCCACCCCCCCCCCCATCCAGGGCTGCCCTGTTTGGATGGCTGGAGCTGGTGTGTTTTGAGGGGCCAGGACTAGCCACAGGGGCACGCCAGCTAGAATGCCCAGACCTTGCTCCTGTGTGGACTCTCAAGGTGGAGAGGGGAGGTAAACAGTGGTGGTCACCAGCATTTCCGACCCCAGGGAGAGTTCTAGTACTTACCGCTGTTGGATGGCTGTTAATAAATGGTTTTCCTTCACTTGGAGTCTAGTTACCTTTTAAGCTGCAGCTTATTTCCTGTGCCCCAGGCAGGTGAATCTCTGCATGGGCCTGTCAGTGATTTCACTCCTGTAGTTTGCAGCATCGGGGTGGAGTTACCCTTGTTACCGTGCATCCATCTCTCTTGCCATCCTGATGGAGGTTTCTCCAGCCTTGCTTGTGCACAGGGTGTTCAGTCAGCCTTCAGGGCTTCTGGAGGAATTGATCTATATGTAGGTAGAAATGTGGTGTGTCCAGGGGAGTTCTGCATCTTCCTCTGGTGCCCTCTTGGACCCATCCAAACATTTTCTATTTTTAAAATATTGTGGTTTTCTGCGTTGCCCCAAGTAATGTTATGATTTAATTAATTAATTTTTAATAATGCTATGATTTAAAGTTTTGGGGCTTATTCACAAGAAATAGAAGATTTGGTGTGGAATGGCCTTCCCTTATGTGTGTGGTTTAGATATGTATCTTACAATCATGGTTTCCATGCCTCTTATGAAGATGCAGGTGTTTACTTCTTATACTTAAAAATACTTGACTATCTAGTGAGTCTGCAGAGTAGAAATATTACGAGATTATATGGCATATTCTTCATTTTTCCTGTTAAAAAATGGGCAGTGTGTACAGTTCACCCTTGAGCAACACAGGTTAGAACTATATGGGTTCACTTACATGCAGATTTTTATTTATTGTTTATTTTTTTCTTATTTAAAGATTTTATTCTTAAGCAATATCCACACCCAACATGGGGTTTGAACTCACAGCCCCACAGTCCAAGAGTCACATGCTCTACCAACTGAGCCAGCCAGGTGCCCCTGTGTATAGATTTTTAAAAATAAATATAGTACAGGGGCACCTGGCTGGCTCAGTCAGTTAAGCATCCAACTTCAGCTCAGGTCATAATCTTGTAGTGGTTCCTGAGTTTGAGCCCCGTGTTGGGCTCTGTGCTGATAGCATAGAGTTTGGAGCCTGCTTCGGATTCTTTGTCTGCCTCTCTCTCTGCCGCTCACACTCCGTCTCTCCCTTTCTCAAAAATAACATTAAAAAATATTTTTTACATAAAGTCAGTACTGTAAATCTACTTTCTCTTAAGATTTTCTTAACATTTTTCCTTGAATTTCCATTTGTAAGAATACACTATATAATAACATCATTTAACATACAAAATATGTATTAATCACCTTTTATGAGTAAGGTCAGCTGTAGGCTATTAATAGTTATTGGGAAGTGAAAAGTTGTATGTGGATATTTGACTACACAGGGGTTGGTGCCCCTAATCCCCATGTCATTCAAAGGTCAACTGTATTAAAAAGTATATTAGCTTATTGATCTTTGATGCTGCCAGTTAATTTATGATTTCATTATCGTTTCACTAGTTGCCTTTTTATGAGTGCTTAACTTTAGTAGTGCCAGTGAGATTAGATGTTAATTTTCTCCAGTCAGACTGTAACCTCAAATCCTTCCATCTGAAGCCTTTCTGCCAGGGGCATCAGAAGTAGGTGAAAGCCTACCTAGTGAGGTCTGGCTAATGCTGAGCCACCAGCATCATCTTTAAAAACAAAGGAGCCTACATTTCTATTTTTGTTTGCTAAGTTATTTCCTTTACTCATACTTCAAATTCAAACTTTTGGCCTCAAAATACAAGCAGAATATAAGGCAGACAGGACAAATATGCTTTGTGGTGTTATCATCAGGTCCTTATTTTCTTATTTCAGACATCGAAATGATTACTCTGCTTTCGAGGAATGATGTAATAGCCCTTGGAAAAACATAAGTGATTATATTTACATAGCGTTTCTCAAGGCAAGAAAAATTTGGTTGCCAAATAATACTCTGTAGTTTTAATCTGGGTGCTGCATTTTTTAAGTATTAAAATGAAACTGAAGTTTTGGGATGCATTTTGGCTTTTTGTTTCTAAACCACTGATTGGCTGTATTACATCAGAAAAGTCTGGCTAAGTTGAACACAGTATTACAACTTTGGAATCAAATATGCTCATTTTGGGTCTTTCATTTTAACATATTGATCATTTCTTTTTGAATACAGTGAAATATGTAATTAAATGCAACCATAGTTTCATTTCTTTCACCTTTTTATTGAAGTAGGTGTACAACACAACAATTAACTTTTATTTCTTTTAACAGAAAATGACTGCGGTGTTGGAAGATCATTACTATTGGAAGGCCGGTTAGCTTCAGTTTCCTAACAGATACTTGACCACCATTTGTTCTGGCATGGCGCAGAGCAGTCCACAGCTTGATATGCAGGTTCTCCATGACCTCCGACAACGTTTCCCGGAGATTCCAGAGGGTGTCGTGTCTCAATGCATGTTACAGGTAGATTACCCAGCAATGATAGTGATATTAAGCTACATTTCTCCTTATTCGACCTGGCTTGGTGTTGTGGTGACTAGAAGTCCATTCAGTTTTCTTGTGAATGTGGAGGACAGTGGGAAACATTCAGAGCAGGATTTCTCAACCTTCGTGCTGTCGACATTTTGGGCTGCGTAGTCTTTGTTATGAGGTCCTGCCATGTACCTTGTAAACTGTTTAGTAGCATTCCTGGTCTCTACTACCAGATGATAATAGTATTCCTGCAGTTGTGACAACTAAAAATGTCTCCAGACATTAATAAAGGCCTCACGGGAGGCAAAACCTACCCCACTAAGAACCCATTAAGAAAAGAGTAAAGGCATGTAGCAAAAGAAAAAAATGATTTTGTTCACCATTTCATTTCTTACATTTTGGAGTTGTTTCATCAGTCCCCAAATTCTTATAACTAATTTTGAACCTCAGATTTATCATTATAACTTTGAGCCAGGGTTTAAAAGTCTGTAGACAGTCCTGTCCCTTACTGTATTTCTAATTGATAAATGTTTACTAATATGCAGCTGTAAGTTTAAGGCCACTTTCTCCAGTTTAATCGTAATCCTTTGGTTTTGTTGTCTTGTATTAAAATACATCATATTGGATAAAATCTGTTTTCCCATTCACGGGGCAATAGATAAACAGGCCGGATACTCCCCCTGTTGAATTTTGCATCATCCTCCATAGGATCTTGGTGTGTTTTGGGTTATAGAATTTCTCTTGTTGTTTACATTTGTGTACAGTACTTTTCTCCTGCCCACTGGACTTCCTCATACACCGTCAGTTCAAATGCTACCTTATTGCAGTGTGAATGGGTCAGGATATCACCTAAGCCTATATACAGTTGAGTTTAATTGCAAATAGAGACTCACTGAACAGTTGTGGTAAAAGTGGTACTTTCCAGCTCTTTTACTAGATCCAGACCTTTGGGCTTAAGATTTTTATATTATACCTTGCCTTTGTTTTTTCTAACACACATTCCCAGTCTGACTTCCTAGTCTCTATTTTAGCCCCATTTTGGTCTCTGGTAGAGCAAAGGTGCTTCCCACTGGATTGAAATCAAGCATGACTGAGGCTTCTAGTTAAAACCATTTCCTAGCAGTCACCTTCCTTACCTATCCTAACCTCTTCCCCCCAGCTCTGACTTCGTTTTTCAAGTTATTTTTTCTCATTATCACCTGTATTTTTTCATGGCTTAGTGTCTTCATCACACTTTCTAAACTGAAGGAATGAACTTTAAATTCAAGTTAATGAACATTTGTTCATTTACATTGACCCAAGTCTTTTTTGTTTTTGTTCCTTTGGGATTAATATCATTTATTGATAGAGAGAATTAACCACCTACTGGCTCTGAAAAGTTTTTCTGTTTGCATTTAAAGACTCAGTAGCTTACATTTAATATACAGGTCTTAAAACCTCTCTATGAGCTATCCTCTCTCAATTTATGATCACTTTAGGAGTATGCTTTTTTGCCTCAGTCTTTTCAAAGACCTTATATGTTTTCTTAAATATTTTTGTGTCTTTATCCAACTAAATAATTTTGATTTATTCTTTATATTGACTGATAAGTTTTATGTTCATTTTTTTTTCTTTTGGAGGCATTCAGCAAGTTAAATATGACACTTGACTATTTTGGTGGCATTCTTTTAAAAATGCTTTTACAAAAATAACACTTAAAAATCTTGTATTTTTGGTTTAAATTTTTTCTTCATAAGAAAATTGACTTACCTTGTGACTGCAGACATGCATTTGAATAGGCTGACAAATCAACCTTGTATCCTTTTGAATTTGGGTCCTCTTGTGAAGATGCTATTAACGCTGCCTATTTCAGTGTAGAAAACATGAAATTTCAACAGCATTAATACAAATGTCAAATAGTGAAGTACCCACAACTGCTTTAGGTTTCATATAAAACTGTCTAGTTTTTGTTCTCCTTTTCATCCAATTGCAGAGATACCTTATTTTCACTTTTCATATTCTTTTCTTTCAGATATGCCAGTGGCATTTTCTAGTTAGCAATCAATTTGAATGCTTTGGATCCAAATTTGCTAAATACCTAGCTTTTCTTCCTTAATCAGGTCAGAGTGATTTTCAAGTAGGATAAGAAAAAGGCCAGACTTTGAGTTTTCTTCTTAAATGTAAACAATTACTTTTTTCTCTGGCTCAGAATTTTGGTATCAGAAGCTTTATATAAGGAAAAAGATACCAGATGTGTATGGAGCTTTAATAAAGCCAGTTCTTTAAATTTTTGAGAATTCATTTTGTAAAGGTTTGCCTAACTGGATCTTTGTTTTTTTGTTTTTGTTTTGTTTTTTTAAATAATTTATTGTCAAGTTGGTTTCCATACAACACCCAGTGCTCATCCCCATAAGTGCCTTCCTGAATCTTTGTTTACTTCCTCTAAACCTTTAGAATAATGATTTGCTTTTGGCCTACCATCCTCTCCTGTGAAATGACCGCGTCATTGTGGAAGCATTGGTGGGAGTCAGGAGACCAAAAATCTCCAACTGGCTCCCCGTTAATTAGTCAAGTGCTTGGTGTCAAGCCATGTAACTCGGTGGGCATTTCTTTCCTTATCTGAAAATCAGTTGAAATGGATGAACCCAGAAGTTATTCCAGCTCTAAAATTACCGCACTGTATGTTCCGTTTTAGGTTTAACCTTTTTTGCTGCTTAGCAGAAGTAAAATTTTTCCCTTTTGGTTTTTTTTATAAAATGTGCTTTTTATTAAAATAAATGCACAGTAGTATGTACATATGTATGCGCATATCTGGGTATATATTTATGAACTACAAAGTACCATCAATTGAGAAGCTTTATTATTATTTTTTTTTACAAATAGTTTATTGTCAAATTAGTTTCCACATAACACCCAGTGCTCATCCCCACAAGTGCCCCCCTCCCCCCCACATCCATCAGTCCTCAGTTTTTGTCAGCATTCAAGAGTCTCTCATGGTTTGCCTCTCTCCCTTTCTCCCACCATTTCCCCCCTTCTTCTCCCCCTTGTTCCTCCGTCAAGTTCCTCCTAATCCTCCTATACGTGCAAACATATGGTATTTGTCCTTCTCTGCCTGACTTACTTTGCTCAGCATAACACCCTCAAGGTCCATCCATGTTGCTACACATGGCCAGATTTCATTGTTTCTCATTGCCATGTAGTATTCCATGGTATAGAAGCTTTATTATTTTAAACACAATGAGTAATACAGTGCTTGAGGCTAATAAAATAGTTGAGATTTTTGAATTTTTTAAAATATTTTTTAAACGTTTGTATTTTTTGAGATAGAGACAGAGCTTGAGCGGGGGTAGGGGCAGAGAGAGAGGGAGACACAGAATCCAAAGCAGGCTCCAGGCTCTGAGCTGTCAGCACAGAGCCCGATGCAGGGTTCGAACCCACAGACCGCAATATCATGACCTGAGCCGAAGTCGGCCGCTTAACCGACTGAGCCACCCAGGAGCCCCACGATTTTTGTATTTTAATGGAAAACTACCTTATGATATTTTAAATCACAAAAAGAACCCTTCATTAGTTTGATTATTGTTGAGTGGAGTGTCTAAAATGTCACTTTTCTATTATCATCTTTGAGTACGTGCATAACAAAAAATTCAAATACTCCAGTGATTTTGAAGGTTTACCAAGTAACCAACCTTTAAGTGGGTAAAAAATTTTAGACTGTGGGAGTGTGAGTGACTTTCATTAAGGCTCTTGAGACCTGGTTTTCTGTTAAAATTTACCATAATTCTGGCAAAGTCGTGGAACCATAGTTCAAAAAGTGTATTTGTTTTTACCAGTTTCTTTGTTTAGCTTAATCTTTCATAATGATACTTGAAGTTATGTAGGGATAAATTTGATTAAAAGAAAAGGCTGCTTTAGAATTTTTACTGTTTTGACTCCAGGAGTTTTATTATAATTTTTCTCCTTTTGTGGTTTCAATGCTTTTTGAAAACTAAAGCATGGTTGTTTTTATGTTTTTAAGTTTAAATATTAATGATGAGTCTTACTTTAACTTGTCTGTTACAGCAGTTGTGATGAATCCAAGATTAGCCCACCATTTTAATTTGTTGAGATGCAACAAACATAAAACGAGTCCTGGACTTGGACTCAGAAAACTGGGAGTTGAGTCCCAGTGATCATCAGTGGGTTCTTTACAGCAGTAGTGGTAGTAATAGTCCTATGAGCTACCTTTCTGTGAAACCAGATGAATTGTTTCAGATCTCCTTATCAGAATAAATGACTGCGAAGCTTTTTATGCTTAAAATACCATTCTCTACTTCGTCTAGGACAGTCCTCTTTGCATAACCGACAAAGCTTGACTTCCACTATTAGGATTTGTTAATTTTGCCAATGTTACTGTTACTCTTTTTTCCCCTAGAACAACAACAATCTTGAAGCCTGTTGCCGAGCCCTCTCCCAGGAGAGTAGCAAATACTTATATATGGAATACCATAGTCCAGATGACAACAGGATGAATCGAAATCGCCTTTTGCATATTAATCTGGGTATCCATTCTCCTAGTAGCTACCACCCAGGAGATGGAGCCCAACTTAATGGTGGTCGAACACTGGTACACAGCTCAAGTGACGGGCATATTGATCCACAGCATGCAGCAAGTAAACAGCTGATCTGTTTAGTTCAGGAACCACACTCAGCTCCAGCTGTTGTGGCTGCTACTCCAAACTACAATCCATTTTTTATGAATGAACAGAACAGAAGTGCAGCTACTCCTCCTTCACAGCCACCTCAACAGCCATCTTCCATGCAAACAGGAATGAATCCGTCTGCTCTGCAAGGGCCTTCACCACCACCACCGCCACCTCCTTCATACATGCACATACCTCGGTATACTACAAATCCGATTACTGTTACAGTATCCCAAAACCTCCCTTCTGGACAGACTGTACCAAGAGCTTTACAAATTCTTCCACAGATTCCAAGCAATCTCTATGGGCCTCCTGGTTCTATTTATATTAGACAGACATCTCAGAGTTCATCAGGAAGACAAACTCCTCAGAGTACGCCATGGCAGTCCTCCCCACAGGGCCCAGTGCCTCATTATAGCCAACGTCCTTTACCTGTTTATCCACATCAACAGAACTATCAACCTTCTCAGTATTCTCCCAAACAGCAGCAGATTCCTCAACCTGCTTACCATTCACCACCTCCTTCTCAGTGTCCTTCACCGTTCAGCTCTCCGCAGCATCAAGTGCAACCTTCCCAGTTGGGCCATCCAAGTTCCCACGTCTTTATGCCACCAAGTCCTTCCACCACTCCACCCCATCCCTATCAACAAGGACCTCCTAGCTATCAGAAACAGGGAAGCCATTCGGTAGCCTATCTCCCATACACACCATCCAGCTTACCCAAAGGATCCATGAAGAAGATAGAAATTACAGTTGAACCCTCTCAAAGACCTGGGACAGCAATGAATAGGAGTCCTTCACCTATCAGTAATCAGCCGTCTCCACGGAATCAGCACTCACTGTACACAGCCACCACACCACCTTCAAGTTCTCCTTCAAGAGGAATATCCAGTCAACCAAAACCTCCATTTAGTGTTAATCCTGTGTATATTACGTATACACAGCCAACTGGACCTTCATGTGTTCCAACACCATCTCCTCGAATGATACCAAACCCAACTACGGTTTTTAAAATTACCGTAGGTCGAGCAACGACTGAAAACCTTTTAAATTTAGTGGACCAAGAAGAACGTTCTGCAGCCCCAGAACCTATTCAGCCCATTTCAGTGATACCTGGCTCTGGAGGAGAAAAGGGAAGCCACAAATACCAGAGGAGTTCTAGTTCTGGATCAGATGACTATGCCTATACACAAGGTAATTTTATTTAGCCGTATTACGAAATTAAATCTTTGTGGTGAGGTGGCAGCCTCCTACTTAAAATAAATTTATATTGGCTGTTTAGGTTTTTTTTTTTAATGTTTTCATTTATTTTTTGAGAGACAGTACACGAGTTGGGGAGGGGCAGAAAGAGAGGGAGACACAGAATCCAGAGCAGGCTCCTGGCTCCAAACTTTCAGCACAGAGCCCAATGCAGGGCTCAAACTCACGAACCACAAGATCATGACCTGACCCAAAGTCTGACGCTTAACAGACTGAGCCACCCAGGCGCCCCATATGAGTTGTTGAGTTTTAATTAAATGTTTAGTTTTCATTAAATACTGGGCAGTAGCATGGCTGTCAAGAATAGGGTTGGTGCTTCAGAGTTATCTATATACAGTATATATACATACAGTATATCTGTATATATATCTATATACAGACCAGTGAAATCGATACCGTCAAAAAACTAGGGTAGGAAAAAGATTCATAGAAGGTGGGCTAAAGTTGATCAAGGTTAAGGAATTTGAATCTTTTTTAAAGAGAATGGCCTGGAGCATGTAATATTTATAAGTGATATATACTTACAAGTGGGATTGGTGATGAAGAACATTGTTAGATTAGTTAATGGTGAACCTAACTAAAGAGCTAAAGAAAAGGAGGACAGAATTTTTTAAGTCTATTCAGATTTCAAGATAGCTGAGAATTTATTCCTTCACTATGTAAGAGGGATAATAATTATGATTGTAATTAAATATGCCTGGTAGTGAACCTGTTTAAAACCCACAAAGGCATAGTTAAAAACACAGTGTTAGGGAAAGGAAGAACAGCAGAGCAAGCGGGACGTATAGCTAGATGATGTCATTTTGGCACAAGAGGCAAATTAAAGCAGATCTGGGAAAGGTAAGATGGCATTAGCAAGACACAAGAGTAGATGCCCACTCACTTTGAGGACAGGGTTCCTTTGGAGTATGTTAAACATTAGCAGTGCGTAGAGAAATCTCCCAGTCACTCGTTCACTGTTACTCTCTGCAATGACTCTGTCTGTAACACTGTAGCCTTGCTGTTACATCAGCGAGCAAGGATGGAGAGGTTAGCAAAGCAGTTGAAACTTGAGAAAGAGGAGCTAGAGCGGTTGAAGGCCGAAGTTAACGGTATGGAGCATGACCTGATGCAGAGACGGCTCCGAAGGGTCAGCTGCACCACTGCGATCCCCACGGTAAGTCCTCGGTTGGGATGTGTGCACAGGAAGGTGGGGATGGCGGCTGTCCAGGTCATTTGGTTTTCCTGTGGGTTCTCTTCCCGGCAGGGCCTTTGTGCTTTTTAAACAACAAATAAGGGAGTGTGGCCTTTAGTAGTTCCCGTCAAACTCATCCGATGCTTGTATGTTCACATGTATGAATCCTTTAGGTTCATCAGTATTGTCGTATAACTGACATTTATAATCAAGGTATGGTGTCTCATTTACTGGAAGTTTCTCAGAGTAGGAAGGTGTACTCTAAGAAGTATTTTGTCATTTGTTCTCATGTGTCTGTATTTTCTTTTAAGTATATAATATACATATAAATTCCAAAGATTTTAAAGTTACTTTCTTAGGTACATTAATTCAAATAACTTAGAACAGTATCGATATGAATCTGGTCAAGTGTTGACTATAGAGTATTTCAAGGCAGAGAAGTGTTGTTAAGTATAAATAATTGTAGAATCTAAGATAGCAGTGTTGACCACAGTCCTAACAGTAACTGCTCTCATGAAAAGATTTGGACAGTATATTTTTAACATGGTTAGTACTGTTGATGCGTTCTAAAAACTGTTAAGCAATTCGGAAAGTTTGGAAACCAGCCTCCTAAAATCTTGTGACAGTACAAGCTTGCTGTGATCCGACCTATCACTTCACCTTTGAACATTCGTTTGTGCAGCAGGCCGTTTTTAGTTTATGAATGCGGTCCTATGCTGGGTGCTTAGCGCATAGCTGCTAGCGAGAGAACTAGATCCATCCACAGGGAATTATAATGCAGTGTGGTTAGTGCCGTTGACGTAAACGGGCGATGAGACCACTCCACCGGCAGCTCGTCTGTGTGTGTACTCGGCGCGCTTCTGCCTTCTCGTATCCTCTTCCTGTACGAATACCCTTCTGAAGCTCTACGTGGGTAAGTCCTGTGGAGTTGTCAGGGCTTCACCTTAACCCTGACGTTTTTCCATAGAGCCATTCCTTACTTTCCCAGTATCTGGAAATGGAGGGCGGTTCCTCAACATCTACAAGTTGAGAGAAGTAGTATGTATGCGTGTCAGGCGCCTTGCCGGCAGCGCGCAGCTCTGCCTTCATAGAGTTGTGGCTTCAAGGGAAATAGGTGAACTCCTGAAACTAGATGCAGTTTCGTTACGTGTTTTTATATGGAAGTGGGTCTCTATTTTTCATCCAATTTTCATAAGGTTAATAGAGGGAAGGGGGAAAGGCAAAGACCTACTGCTCTAAATGGTACAGTAGTGCTGTGTGGGCAGTGAGCATCGGTGGGTGGGGGGGCATTTTGGAAGGGAAAAAAAGCACTGAGGTAACACAGGTGTGAAGTGAAGACAGACAGACTTTCAGGAGACAGCAAATCCAGGTCTCACACTTAAGCTGAGATTTCTGGAGTGTTAACAGGTTAATGTGCATCGGTCGAGTGGGTCATAGACCTTGAGGGTGAGGTGTTTGAAGTTTATTCTGCTGCTACTGGGGAAACCAGTGGAATTTTTCAGAAGGAAATTATTGATAAACAGACATTTAATAATTGAAAGGAATTTAGTCAATATTAGAAAAAATTTCAAACAATAGTATTACAAGTAAGAAGGGAGGATTGTAGTTAGAAAATTACAAAGCTGTCTCAGATAAAATTTCTCATTTTTTCTCCACTTAAAATCATCATTGGATTCTCTGATTAGGGGAGGTATTGAAGAATATACCCCTCATAAGAATCTACCCTGGTGGTTGAGCACTTTGGAGTCTTTTAGGTACCTAGGGAATATAAACATTTTCTTAGCATAGAAGTCATTTTCCCTAACCTCACCATAACACGTTTACTGACCTCTTGCTGTGTGATAATCTCTGCTAAATAAAACCGTGTAGATTTTTGTTGTGATGGAAAGTGGAGAAGTGTCACATGTAACATAGGTTAGTGCTACAAAAAAAATCTGTCCGCACAGAGCCCGAGGCTGAGCTGGATCCCACGAACCGTGAGATCATAACGTGAGCCAAAATCACGAGTCGGATACTCAACCAACTCACCCAGCTGCCCCCCAACACCCTCAGATTTTAGATGAGTACTCTTATTGACAAGACTTATTTACGAAAAAAGAAACCAAATAGAATGGTATAATGAACCCCTGTATAGCCAGCATCCAGCTTCAGAAATTGGTAGGTCATGTGGGTGACAGGCGTGAATTTTCTTATCTGTAATATCTTTGAGTACCTATCGTTTGGGATTTTTGTTAGGGTTAACTAGTACACAGTAATGAATTTACGTAGCACCCAGTAAATACTTAATATTCTTATAAATGTTATTTGGACAGCCCTGGGAAAACCTGCTTGATAATTCACACACACACACACAAATAAGGACCATTTTGCAAAACTTTAAATTTAGGAACATGTATAACATAAAGGGTATACAAGAAATAAAGCATTTAGTCAGAATTCCCTTTTGTTGATAGAGCCTCATTTGAGGCACCATGACATAGTTCACAGAGTGTCCACATAGACTCTGGAGACAGAATAGTTCTGGCAGTGACTGGCTCTAACTTCTGTGCATTTGATTTTCCCTATCTGTAAAGGGGAACTATATTTTAAAGTTGTCAAGATAAAGAGACAGTGTAAAGTGTTTGGCATGGAGTTAGGTGTTCAGTAAATGGCTATCTTTATCTTTGTCCCACTCACATGTAGGATTACACAATAGATTTTTTTTTTTTTGCCACTAAGCTCATATTTCTACCTTCAAGTTTGCAAATTAACTTCTTGTTAAGCAGTGCATTAAAAAAAATGTGTGCCTCATGAGCCTGAAATGCACATTGGTTACCAGCTGGAGGCTGCAGGTGGAGTTAGAGAAAGTGAAATGATCTGAGGAGGGCAGATGTGGAAGATGGCCTCAGTCTCCTCTTTGCAAAGCATTGTGTTTTTGTGTGAGAGAAAAGATACTGTAAATTGGCATTAAATCAGAAGTGTTGGCCAGCTTCAGAGTAAACCGTGAGGGATAAATAAGGTTAAGTTACTTCTAAAGCAGGTTATTCCTCTCGTTCATCTTGTTCTAAGTGGGTTTTTGGACTAACCCACATTGTACAGCCCTGATGCATAACAAGGGCCAAGACACCGAACAACAACAGTGGTCTTCAACCTTGGTCTCTGTCATACAACTTCTTAAAGTGCTCAGTTGACTTGAGGTATTTCTACCACCTTCTGAAGAAAGCTTAGGATTTTTCACTTTGAAATGTCATATCTTTTAGAAACAACTCTACATTACACACAGCCAAGCTTGAACCTCCTCCTTGAAAATACAGCACTGTTTTTGACAAATGGTACTGACTTTTCAGAAATAGCACCCCCCCCCTTTGGTTTAATCAGAAGATATGAAAAAGGAAGTAAGAATTATTTCTTTAGTGAATTCTGGTGGTTCTACGTCTTCGGAAATGATCCTGTTGAAGTGTATTCTAGGATTTCCACACTTAGTTATATAGCTTTAGTATTTAGGACCATTGTGGCTGAAACACCCCCCTTCCTCCCACAAATGCATAGGAAGATTGAGTTCTTTTACGTATTCTTTAGAAGGCAACATCACTCTTTGAAAACCCTGATCAAGTGCGATATCTTATTAAAAATGCTCAGGTATATTTTAAACTCTTAATACTGCCTGGTAGACAAAGTGTACGCATTCTGTGTGGTAATGTCCCATGTTTTGCAGATCGGAAAAAGGCAAGTAATCCCCAGGTAACATTGTTAAATGACTTTTGTGTTCCCATAGAATTCTAAGGGATTTTAGCTCTCACTATATGGTGTTCTATCACTTATTTTAAAGGTTTCATACCCACAAATTTAAGGGGCACTCCCAGTTATTCTGAGAACACTTCAAAGAGTGTGAGAGCTTGTATTATTGTAAATTAAGAGAACCTTATTGCTTGTTTTTCTTGACTCTTATATTAACATAGTTTATAGAAGAATACAGGTTTTTAACAGATTTTTTTTAATCATATTTATCGTTTACCGTATATAGCTAAAAGCACGTTAGTAACTGAGTTTCTATCTGGGCTGTGCCGAAAGCTTCAGTACCTCTGCGTCTGGAATTTTACAACCTCGATAATTTATTTTTACTGTGTATATATGTAAAGAAATTTAGAAGGTCAGAGGAAGTAAAGTCTTCCAAAAAACTTTACACTTGTCTCATGTATGCCCCTAAAAGGCCTAAGGGGAGTAGGTTGGGTTGGAAGTCAATGAAGGAGGAAACGAAGTTGGAGGAAGAAATGGTGTCCTGGTGTCCGTTTGTGAAATCTTCATACAATAGAGTGCTTCCTTTTATCTAGAAAAAAAATTCTATATAAATCCTGGTTCTACCAATTACTATCTTTTATCACCTTGGGGAAGTTATATGTCCTCTTGGGGCATGAGCTTCCTCATTTATAAATTGGCGATGATATTAGTACTTGCCTTGAAAGATGGTGGTGAGGAAAGAAATCAGAAACCTCTGCTGAACACAGTTTCTGGCACGAGGTAAACATTAATTGAAATTACTGTTGTAATTTTGTCCAGGCTTGTAGAGATTAAATCATGGACCTTGCTTGTTTTACTAATTGATCCTCATAGTTTCCCTTACCATGAAAACAGAAGTAAAATATTCTTAGTGCTCTGTGATTCAAATGCAGATTTTGTGTTTATGTGGCCATACTGATGTCCTCATTTTACCTGACTGTTCATTTCAGTGTTTAGGACTTCTTCTTAAATATGTCCTCTTAGGGACTAAGGCCATATTCTTGGTAATGACCAATCAGAACGATTAACATGAATAGCAGTTCTTAAATGTTGGGCTTGATAATGACTTTCCCACAATTGCTATTTTGGGTCCTTTCTTACTAGCCTGAGGAAATGACAAGATTGAGAAGCATGAACAGACAACTCCAGATAAATGTTGACTGTACACTCAAAGAAGTTGACCTCCTTCAATCTAGAGGTATAGCCTTGATTATTTGGTAAACCATAAGTAATAGTGTGGTGTTTTAAGCTACTTAAATAGCAGTCATTTTGGTTTTACAGATTTAAGTGATAGTTTTTATTCATTATAATCCTAGTAAAGAGATCCCTTTACCCAGTGGTCATAGATCTGGGGGATCAAAAGTAGTTTCGCTTTGGCAATTTCATCATTATGTTCTTACCGTTGAGACTGCTCTGTGTTGTTACTCTGCACTTACCCTGTTTCAGTCCTTTACTGTGAATATTTTATATTGATGGTTCTTAATTATAAAACTTACTCTGGATGATTAACACATCAATCTAGCATCTGTAAAAATAGGGAATCATGTATCAGATGCCTCAGTTTTAAGATCAAGTCCATATCCTTTTTATGTATCTATTACATGAAGACATCCAGCTACATTTTAAACTTTTTGGAGTTTGAGGTTCTTTTCTTGTTTGGCTCTCTTACAGAGTTGTAGTATGTTAGCAGCTGTCTTAACTGACTTGCACTTATCCAGCTCCCCAGACTAGAGGTGCTCATTCCCCAGCCCCCCCCCCATAAGATACTCGGGCTGCAGCCCCTGTGCACTCCTGACTAGGAGGCCACATACCGGCATGTTCGTGCACTGTTGCTGACTGGTCTGCTGCACGAGAGTTAGTTGTGCCCAGTCCTTCTGCTCTATATGCCGTTTCCTGTATTTCTTTATTCTTCCTGAAGGAGGAGCTGCTCTTCCTTTAAAAAAGAAAAAACAAAAGGTGAATCACTTAAAAACAAAACAAAACAAAACAGAAAATAGACATCAGGAGGTCTGTGAACTAGTTATGGGTGAAAACTGACAAGGGTTAAGGGGATAAGTCATAAAAATCCAAGAGGATTCTCTTCTCTTATTCAAAACAAAATTGTAGATTCAGGGTTCAGCACAAGAGCCTGCTGCCTCTTTTGGTAGTTTTGGTGGGAGACAGTCACACTCTTTTGTTTACATATCGTCTGGGGCTGGTTTTGTGCTTCAACAGCACAGTTGAGGGCTGGCTGCAGACTATTACAGATCCACAAAGCCGGCAGTGTTTAGTACCTGGACCTTTACAGGAGAACAAGTTTGCCCAGTCCCCCTGGAGGTCCTTAGAGGTGTACACTTTAGTGAGAAAGACCGTAGAAAACTTCAGGCAACACTGAAGTTGACAAGTAATTTTTCTTAAAACGTCTGCTTCAGTCAGCCTTTCCCCTTACCACCACTGTTCTTAATTATGGCAGCTAAGAGAGCTTCTATATTTTAAGAGTATTATAATAAAGTACCCGGTTGGCATGTTTAGGCAAGATTTAAAACATAGGTAACAATCTGAGTAGAAGCAAATTTGAATGTGAAGGGTTGCATAGTCTGTTCACGGACCCTTCACTTTTCCCAAAGGTATCCTAGAGACTCCTCGCTTCAAGCGCTGGAAGAATCACTGTGTATTGTGTGCAGGTCTTAAAAAGTATCATTACTGTATTGGAAGACTGCATCCATTTTTTTTTTTTTGAGGCAAAACCAGGAACACTCAAACGGTTGGAGTATTTCTAGTAAGCCTGATGAGACCTAGAAATTAGAACATCAACTGTAACTTAATTGAGGAAATACATATGCAGAGTCTTAAAGCATTTTGGCTTTCATTGTCTTCCAAATGAATACAAGCATCTGTAATAGAACCTGCAAGGGAAACCACTACTAAGGTTTTATGAGCTCTGTTTTTGGTCTCCAGTGGACAACAAAGAGCTCTTTTTGGTGCTTACGCATTTCTAAATCTCCTTTCATAAGGGGTCCAAATATATCCATTTTATACTGAATTCTACTTTTCCACCCTCTGGAAAAACTTTATATTGAAAGCAAGAGATTGCATCTAGGTTCAAACAATTACTTAATGTTGGCAAACTTTCGTGAGGGAAAAATGATGTCTGGCACTCAGGACATCTGATTTGAAATCTCCGGAACTCAGCATGAGTGAGTAGTTTTGAACCTTCACTGGACTTGTGCAGAACAAGCAGGTTACAGGGATAGGTTCACAGAAGTGGAGGGAGAAGGCAAAGCTGACCTTGGATCACAACCCACCTTGGAGGACTCGTGGCAGGAGTTGGGGCTGAACTAGACACTAGGCCAGGGAGTGAACATCTTAAGCCAGTTGAAAATTTTCTGGCAAGACAAATTCTCAGGGATTGTTCTCTTCATTACTCTGAAATTGGCATTATTATCTTTGATAAATCTGTAGGCACCATTCAATATTCTCCTTTTCTTGAAGATAAAGAACGTGTGAACCGCTGCTACTGTTACTTGATTCCTCTTTGTAATTTATGTGTTTCACTTCTTCCAGAGTTGAGTTTATCATGGGTAACTTTTTAAGGTAAACTATGAATGACATGAAAGATACTTTCTTTCTCGAGGTTTGTTCATTAAAATAAAAAGTAACGCAAAATAGTTCAGCTCTCCTTTCTACCTCGTTTACCTCCCTAAGTGTGTCACGTGCATAATCCTCCTGAAGGAGACTAGCTTTGCAGTTAGACAAATATTCCTTCAGGTGATACTTTGTAGATCCACACTGATGAGGTAGTTTGCTCGGGGCTTTTCTTATAGTGTTTAAGAAAACATTTTCAGTGGGAAGAGGATAGGGGTTTTGAACCCTGGAAAAATTTCCCTTCTTACGTATTTGATTTCTATATATTCTTTAAAAAAAAAAAAAGCCAAATAGAAGCAAGAGCCCTAAATGCATGATGATTTTATTTTCTTTATAGGAAACTTTGATCCGAAAGCCATGAATAATTTCTATGACAACATAGAACCGGGCCCAGTTGTACCACCGAAGCCATCTAAAAAAGGTGAGTAGGGAAATGCCACATAAAGACCAGAATTTTTAGCTGAAGATCTTTCCATTAGCAGTATTGACTTTTCAGCATAAAAAAAGTTACCATATTGGTATTACTGTGCCAGATGTCTCCCGTATTTTAATTTATGTAAAGCACTAAAAATTAACTCCTGGAATTATTGTCAAAGGTCATTGGGTGGGATACACAATTTAATTTTTTAAGTGTAACAATACATTATGGAGCTCACATTGTAAATTTACTTACCTCTGTCATAACTATAATCCTAAAAGATCATCCTTAGGAAATAATGAGAACTGAAAAGTTCTTATGTTAGATCTGCTACTCAAAGTTTCCATTCTAAGACTTAAATTACCAGGGTACCCAAGAAGCCTTCTGTGCCCAACAGGTGAACGTAATAATTAGGGACGAGCAGTTTTTTCTTTTTTTTTTTAAATGTTTTATTTATTTCTAGGAGAGAGAGAGAGACAGCGTGAGCAGGGGAGGGTCAGAGAGAGAGGGAGACACAGACTCCGAAATAGGCTCCAGGCTCCGAGCTGGCAGTCAGCACAGAGCCCGACGCGGGGCTCGAACCCACGAACCCTGAGATCATGACCTGAGCGAAAGTCGGACGCTTAACCGACTAAGCCACCCGGGCGCCCCCAGTTTTTTCTTTTTTAAACATTTCTTTTTTGAGAGAGGCCAAGTGATGAAGGGGCAGAACTCAGATTTGAAGCAGACTCTGCACTGACAGGCCCTAGCCCACAGACCACAAGATAGTGACCTCAGCTGAAGTCAGAAGCCTATGCCACTGAGCCAACCAGGTGCCACCCCCCCCCCCCGCTTTTTAATATTTATTTTTGAGAGAGGGAGATAGAGAATCTGACTGAAACAGGTTCCACACTGTCCACACAGAGCCCTACCTGGGGCTTGAATTTAGGAACTGTGCCATCATTACCTGGGGCAAAATCCGATGCTCAACCCATAGCCACTCTGGGACTAGGTGTTTTTACATCAAGGACAACAGAAATCCACTGTAACCAAGATTTGGAGGAATTGCTTTTGGATCTGTTCTCCTTCTTCTTGTGTACCAGTGTTTAATTGGCATTTCAGTATCTTAAAAAGTTAATTTGAATTCAATTTAAATCTTGAGTCATTGAACTTAGGTAATTTTTTCATGACTGAGGTAAAGTATGCATTACATATCTTAATCTGTTGGGCTTTTTAAGCAACTCACAATGAACATGAAGATACATAGAATGGCAGAGAATCCCTTTATTTATAATTAAAGCAAAATTGGGAAACTTATTCTTCCCTTATTAATTTGTACATATACCAATTTTAACTATGCTAGGCAAAAGTAATAAACTGACTCTGAAATTCATACATAGAATATTCAAAACAATCTATAAAAAGAATGTAGTTGGAAGTCTTAGCCCTAACTAACTTCATAGAGATAAAAAGTAGATGGAGAAAATGGGGAAATCTTTCCAGAAACCACTACAGCAACTTGGTTGACCATATGGAAAAATAACAAGGTTTGATCCTTACCTCCTCCTACTATACCCAAAAATCTGCGATGGGTCATACATACTTAAGTGTCAGCACTAAATTACATAGGTTCCAGAACAAAACATAAAATATCCTTGCAACTTGGGCTGAGCTAAGAATTTTGAGGACATAGCAAGAACAGGTGGTACATTGGCCTTCATTAAAATTCAACATTTCTGCTCATCAAGACACACTGCAGAGAAAGTGAAAAGGCAAGCCATGGACTGGGAGGAAATATTTGAAAACATACCTGACTTAATATAAAGAACTTCTGTCACACGGTAATAAAAAGACAATCCAGGGGCATCTGGCTGACTCAGTCGCTTAAGTGTCTGATTTTGGCTCAGGTCATCATCTCAGTTTGTGACTTCAAGCCCCGCTTCCTGCTCTCTGCCGCTCACCTGCACACTCCGGCGCAAGCCCACACAGTCTCTTGAAAATAAACATTAAAAAAAAAAAAAAAAACTTAAAAGGCAATTCACTTTTAAAAGGATCCAAACTTTTGAGTCGCGCTTCACAAATAAATATATGCAAAGGGCTAATAAGCACATGAAAATGCTCAACTTTAATAGACTAAGAAAATGCAAATTAGAGCCCCGAGATTCCTAAAGAATGATCGATTGTATAAAACATTACTGAGGTTGTAGAGCCATCAGAATTCTTACCCATTTCCGGTAAAAGTTTAAGTAGGTATGACCATTTCAAAACCAAACGTTGATTCACCTGCCCTGTAGCCTATGAACTCCACTTCTAAAAACGTGTCCATCAATTTGAAACCTGCGTCCACAGAGTGGCTTGCAGGAGGAGATTCATAGCAGATTTGTTCAAAATAACCAAACCCTGGGAACAGCCCAAGTGGCCCATTAGCAGGTGAATGGACAAACCAACTGTGATATATTCATATCAGAGCGTACTATTCAGCAATACAAACCACCTCCTGTTACGCACGTCCCCGCGGCAGCATCATGCTGGATGAAAGAAAGAAAGCACACAAGAGTGGGTACTGGATGATTCTGTTTACATGCAGGTCATATGCTACATTCGTTTATATGAAAAGACAACAGCTCGTGTCTCTGGGAGTCGAGGTTGGGGATTAACTGGGAACATGGGAGGACTTTATGGGCTAATAGTAATGTCTTGATAGGGATTCGGATTATTCAGGTGTATATGCATTTGTGACAACTACTCACATGGCACACTTAGTGAAATACACAAACCGTAAGTTTTCCCTTAAAAACTCACAGAGAAATAAAAGGAAAATGTCTTGAGGTAATGGGGTAGATCAGCTGCCAGGAGCCCAAAGAGTGTTGTAGCCTTGGTGACACTAGTGTTGCAGACCGGTCATTCTGCCTCCATCTTGGAGACCAACACCATATAGCTGCGGTGGGAAGCTCCTGCTTGGGTGGACTGCTCCGCTAGGAATAGTGGCCGGATGCTATAGTATCCAGCTTCATCTCTCTGTAAGTACCTTTACATGAAGAAGGCCGTATTCTGTAGCACTTTCGTTAGTCCCTCGGAGTTAGCTGGAATTAAATTCCAAATGCAGTCAACTTCCAAAATGTGTTCCAAATGCTTAGTATGTATATGGATTATGTAAATAGATGCTTGATGCTACAAATGTAAGACATGACCGTTACCCCAAGCAGCTTATCCCAGTCTACAACACAGTTATGATACAAAGTAGACTAGAAAACTAACATCTTCACTATAAATGAATTTCTACTTAAGAAATCTAATTGAGGTTTCATTATATATACTGCTGGTGAGACTATAAAATGGTATGAGTATAACATGGTCTTGTTATGTACCCCCTTGTAGTTCTTAAACTTATTTTTTTAAAAAGGTGAAAGGTGTGTTTATTTTGAGAGAGAACCTGTGCTCGCACATGGGGGAGAGGCAGAGAGAGCTTGATATAGGGCTCGAACTCACCAACCATGAGATCATGACCTCAGCTGAAATCATGAGTCAAATGCTTAACCACATGAGCCACCCAGGCACCACCTTTCACCTCTTTCTGTTAGGGAAGAGAATAGAATAGAACTTGATTAAATTATTCAGTTCTTAAAGAATCCTTTTACCACATTTATAAAAGCTATTTGGTTTTCTTTATGAAGTCAAGTGTGTTGTCTTCTAAGCATTTGCATACTTTTTAAAAACTGAATTGGCCTCTTCTAAAAAACATTTATGTCCTTTAATGTAGATTTTCTTGCAGTACCACTTGGTTTAAGATAAAGTACAGATAACAGAATGGCTTATTGGTTAGAATAAATGTCTTGGCATTATTAATATACTATAAATCCAAATGGAATATGGATGTTTATCTGAATAGTAAGTATGATAATAAAAAGGAGAGAATGAGGGGCCCCTGGGTGTCTCAGTTGGTTAAGCATTCGACTTCGGCTCAGGTCATGATCTTGCAGTTTGAGCCCCACGTTGGGCTCTGTGCTGCCATCTCAGAGTCTGGAGCCTGTTTCAGATCGGTGTCTCCCTCTACCCTGCTCTTGCACTCTCTCTCTCTCAAAAATAAAAGGAAAAAGGAGACCAAGAAACCTTTGTGGACTGAACTTTGTAGTGAAACAGTTCCATGTACATGAAAGCCTCGCAGCTGACTTAGGAAGTCCTCCCCAGCAGTGAGAGCATTGACCTTGTTCAGATATAGTCTGTGCACCAGAGAGGTGATCACTCCAAATATTTACTAGTTTATGTATTTTACAGGGCTGTCCTAAGAGTCTGAGAGTAAGCATGGGGCACTATAAAAGTGCTTTAGAAATTTAAGAAATAGAAATTTGCGGTATTCTTTGGAGCCTAAGGGTACCATTTACTCTGCTTTTGTTTACTCTGATAATGGAGTGTTTAAGTACCTAGGCACCAGGCTTCGGATTCAGAGGCAGTGATTTCCAAAGGTGGATTGTAGTAGGGGATTTCCTATGGGCTCCGAACTAATCAGAAAATGCAAGAGCATTCTTGGTTTCTCAGGGAAGATAATCCAAAGAACTACCTCCTAATAAGGTGTAAATTAACAGAAACAGTATTCTAGAAACGGATGCCTGCAGTCCATATTGCTCTCAGTTCTGATTTTTCAGTTACTGCTATTCGTACTCTTTAATTATGAAGTACTGGAGCTTGATGTTACTGTAATGGATTCTTTGGCTAGCCTTACAGATCATGTACTTTCAACCCATGATATTCTAATAACTGTTGCTTAACCAGGCAATTGGCTACAGTACCATCTCCCAAATTTTGCCTTCACACTGACATTTAATTACTATCAGTTTACACTAGGAGAGTGGCAAAGTGGTGAAACTAGACATTTATTCCAAGTAATTGTAGAAGATGGAACATTCGCAAGAGCCACTGTTCTGCATAGGTTGTAAAGCAGTATGAAATTTGGCACTTACCCTGACCTGAGAACGGACGGTGACACAAAGTAATAGGGTCACACTCAACTGTGCGTGCCCCATGACGGGTCCTTGGGAGCCTGTCTGCTCTTCTCACGAACAGCTTTAATCCCTTTCCTACTGGCTGTGCTTCTTTTCATGCAGACTCAGCAGACCCTTGCACAATTGAGAGGAAAGCCCGAAGAATTAGCGTGACCTCCAAAGTACAGGCAGACGTCCATGACACCCAGGCAGCAGCTGCAGATGGTTTGTACCTGTGTGTCCAGAGTTTGTGCAAAACGTCCAAAGACACGTGTTCACCCATGTAGAGTTACCGCAAGGAAAGGCCGACTTTTTTTTTTCCTTTTAGAAAATTGTTCTCTCGGAGCGCCTGGCTGCCTCAGGCAATGGAACAAGTGACTCTTGAGCTCAGGGTGGGTAATTTGAGCCCCATATTGAGTGTAGAGATTACTAATAAAAAAATTAAAACTTAGCCCCTCTAAAAAGTTTCTAAGGCTGTACTGTCCAATAAAAATACAACACAAGCTAATTTCCTAGTTAGCCATATTAAAAAGTGAAATTAGCTTTTTATTTAGTATATACAACATAGTATTTCAGTATGAATTTCAGTATGAAGTATTTCATGTTATTTCAAACTGAGTTTTGTAGTCTTTTTTTTTTTTTTTAAGTTTATTGATTTATTTTGACAGCGTGCATGAGCAGGAGAGGGGCAGAGAGAGGGAGAGGATCCCAAGCAGTCTCCACACCCTCATCGCAGAGCCTGAGCCTTTTGTGGGGTTTGAACTCACAAACTCTGAATTCATGACTTGAGCTGAAATCCAGAGTCGGATGGTTAACCAACTGAGCCACCCAGGTGCCCCAATCTGGTGTACATTTTACACTAAGAACACCTCTCTCCGTTCACAGTGGCTACTTTTTAAGGCCAAGTCATTAATTTAAAAAATAACTTTTTGGAGCCTCTGGGTGGCTGAGTTGATTAGGCATCCGACTTTGGCTCAGGCCATGATCTCGCAGTTCCTGGGTTCGAACCCCACATCAGGCTCTGTGTTGACAGCTCAGAGCCTAGAGCCTGTTTCAGTTTCTGTGTCTCTGCCCCTTCCCAGCTCTCACTCCCTCTAAAAAATAAATAAAAACAATTAGAATAACAACTTTTTGACGGCACCCGACTGGCCATCTGTCTGTTAAGTGTCCGACTTTGTCTCACAGCTCTTGAGTTGAAGTCCCTGATGGGCTTTCTGCTGTCATCGTGGAGCCTGCTTTGAATCCTCTGCCCTCCCCCACTCTCTTGCATGCATGTGCTCTTTCTCTCAAGAATATACATTTAAAACAAATTTTTAATTACTTTTTTATAACCTCTCACTGCAGCTTTCTACTGCTTCTTGAATTTTACCCTTGGGATTCAGTTGAAATAAGAGTTCTAAAAATATTGTATGTATATGAGTTTATGCAAGTATTTTACGTGACTATTATAGAACTAGGGGAAAAATCCCCACCTAAGAACCAACTAAGCATGAAACTACCTTGTACTTTATTTAGTTTAAAAAAAAAAAATCCTCCTTTACCATTGGCATATTTCCTATTATGGAAAAAAAATCTGTTTCTCTCTCTGAAACTGGGTAGAAGTTACTTAAAATTTTTTTTTTAATGTTTGAGAGAGAAACACAGCATGAGCAGGGGAGGGGGAGACCAAGAATCTCAAGCAGGCTCCAAACTGTCAGCTCAGAGCCTAACACAGGGCTCGAACTCACCAGCCATGAGATCATGACATGAGCCAAGGTGGGTCACTTAACTGACTGAGCCACCTAGGCACCCCCAGATTTTCAAATTTTTAATAGCATCCTTTCATTTGTTTTCTATATTCTCATGAGTATATTATAAACATTATTTGTAAAGATGGTTATTATTATGGGAATTTGGCTTATTAAAATTAAACTTTAACACGTTTAAAAATTAGGGGTTTTTTTTGTTTTTGTTATTGTTTTTTTAAATCTCTCCATGCAGTGTGGGGCTCTAACTCACAACACTGAGATCAAGAGTCACATGCTCTTTTGACTGAGCCAGCCATGGGCCCCTAAAACTAATTAGTCTTAAAGGAAAAACGTTTACTTCAGTTCTTTTTTTAAGTTTTTATTTTCTATGAGGCTTGAAATATTTTGCCTTTTAAACAGTCCATAAAAAGAAAAGATTTCACAACTGTAAATCAAGTGAAAACCGACATCTAAGATGTCTTTTGGGTTTTAGAGACTTCTATTTAAACAGTACTTCCCTGTGATGAAATGCACAATGTGTTACCAACAATAATTCTAAATTGGGTGCCTTTTAAATACTTTGGTAAATTAGTTGAGAGTGATTTATTCCCAATTCAATCATGATGGTAGTGAAGGGGAGACTATGGCACCGTAAAATATGCCATTTTTGGCATCAAGTTATTCTAAGCAACTGCAAAGGCCGGAGAAGCTCTGACCCCAGAGTAGACATTCCCCTTTTGTCAGGAACACTTACGTGTACACTTAGCACTCACACACTCACTCACGCCCAAGGTAGTTAGCATACGGCGAGGTCTGGGCTTCAGGAGTAGAACCCACTGCTTCATCTCTTACATACCACCCCCCCCCCCAACCAACCTTCAGCTTGTTCTCTGTATTTAAGAGTCTTCTTACCATTTGCCTTCCTCTGTTTTTATCTTCTTTTTCATTTCATTCCCCTGTGTTCATCTGTTGTGTTTCTCACATTCCACACACGAGTGAAGTTGACCTTTATTAAGGCAGTCTCCACTTAGAGGAGTCTCCTTGTGTTTATCAGAGTCTTATGACTAAATCAAAAGAGAATGGTTATCAGTGGAGAAAGGATAGGACTTAAGCCTAGGTAATAAACCCTTATCTGCCGTGCTTGTCAGGTAACCTCTGCCCTCCCTCCAACATTCTGCTTTGTCTTAAGCTGAAGATGGTATTTAAATGGCTGCTTGGCCCCCTTTAGGGAATTCATTTTCCTAGGTCTCTACCCTGCATATGTACCCATGTTAATGAGCTTTGTTTTTTCGCTTGTTCGTCTTTCTTTTATTATGGGGGTAGAGGGGTCTCAGTCAAGAACTCAGGGGAAAAATGATTTTTTCGTCTCCTATAGTATTAAAGAAGAGAAGCCCCAAGTATCCCATATTACTTAGGCTAAAAGAGGTTGTACGGTTATTTACGCAGTTTAGAAAACAGAATTTAAGGCTAGGTTTGGTGCTAAATACTTGATGAAATAAAAATTCGCCTGCTCTAGGAAAGTGTAAAGGTAAGTTTTTAGAGCCTGTTTGATAAAAAAAAAAAAAAAAAACCACCAGCAATAAGATTTAAGTGTTTACCTTTTAAAAAAACAAAATGCCCAGAAAACCAGAAACTCTTATATAAGAGAGAATCTTCTGGAAATGGCATGCAGAACAGTTTTCCTCTCACAGAAGGCTTTAACAGTTCAATGTGCTTTTTATTCTTCCATATTGTACCAAGAAGAAAACTGTTAAGTCTCCATGGTTTAGAGTCATGAGCCAAAAGATACAAGGTGGGTGTTAATGGCCCTTAAAATGGCCATTGGAGGTCAGAGAAACAACCCCGTTTTTCCTTCCTAGAGCTTTAGAAATAGGTTGATGACCCCAGTGGTTTTCTGTTCTGCTGTCAAGCTCACATCTCTGGTGAACCCAAACCTTACTAGGATTGGAAGGTTTGGGTCCAAAACTCAGTTCTACCTGTTGAGGAATGAATGTTCACACCAGCCGTTTGTCAGGAAAGACAAATTGCCAACGGCAAGTCAGCTCGTTAATTTCCAAAAGAAGATAGACTTAACCCCAAATGGTGGCTGAGTCAAGCCTTCCAGCTTAGTTTCTTCTGTTACCTGCTTCGGAACGCTGCTGACTTTTGATCTGCATCTCCTTTCCAGTTCACAGTGAGGAGTTCCACTGTGTTACAGGTAGATTTTACCAGGCTTGTGAGGATCCTCCACATTCCGCAGTGGATTCCATCCGGAGGTCTTTAGACAGCACGTTCAGTAGGGACTGTTCCTCAAAAAGCAGACTTTCCAAAGTAACTCTAGAAGACCAGAGCCTTTTTGAGCACAAGGCCACAGGGAATGAGGACCTAGGAGGAATCTACGTTTTATGTGTTTATAAAGAAAATCCTGAGGACCAGCCAAGGGTTGCCAGCATTTTATATGGCCAGATATACCTTTTTTTTTTTAAAAGTTTATTTATTTCAAGAGCAAGCATGCGTACAAGTTGGGGAGGGGCAGAGAGCAAAAAAGAAAGAATCCCAAGCAGGCTCTACACTGTCAGCATGGAGCCCAGAGGGGGGACTCCAACTCACGAACCGTGAGATCACGACCTGAGCCAAAATCAGCAGTATGCTGTTTAAGTGACTGAGCCGGCCAGGCACCCCCAGATGCATATATGCATTTTTAAAAACCGTATCCGAAGGACATTGTAATGCCCAAAAGGTAGGAAAGAAACGAAGAATAAAAAAGTCTTTTATTTTGAATAAACTTAGCTTTTATGATAACCTGTAGACTCGATCTCTTTTTGCCATTCTAGGAACAACTAACTTTGTTAGGAGTGGTCGCTGTCATTTTGAACCATTCTGGTTCAAGTCTGCATGTGTACTGTGAGGCTGAAGGTCTCCTGGGAGGAGGCTGACAGTTTGGCTAGTACCGGGGCAGGCCAGAGGGGGGAGTGTCAGGGGAAACTTGAGGTGGCCCAATTTCCCGTGTCCCAGACCATTTCTCGATTGCTTTATTTGGCTGGAATATACAGCTCTGTAAGGATCACGAATGAGGAAGGTCATCTGTAGTGGACCTGGATTTATCTTCTTCTCAAAGCAAAAAAGTAAATTATTTTAAACAAAGTAGAATTTGTGTCATAAACCTGTTGAGTTGCCTGTGTCTAGTAGCTGCACGTACCACCTGGCTTTCACATTCAGTCAGTGGGAAACTGCCCCCCACCTTTTTTGGTAGTTTTTCAGCCTGGATTATACCTGGAAATGTTCAATCTATTTTCTCCCTTAATCCTAACTTCCTTCAGAGCATCTAACTGGCTCCAAGCAGGGTCCTCGGTCCCAGCCCCGAGATGAAGACTACGAAGGGGCTCCGTGGAATTGTGACAGCTGCACCTTCCTGAACCACCCTGCCCTGAACCGCTGTGAGCAATGCGAGATGCCACGGTACACTTGAACTCGGATGGGTCTGCGTCAACTTGAGAGCGACACTCAAAGCACCCACTTGAAGACAAGGAAACCTGGGGAGTCTGTTCATCCGCCCGGCCTTTCCGTGGCAGGTTCCAGGGGGGAGGAGGAAGGACCCTGCAGGAGCCTGTGCTCACTAAGGGAAGAATGGGGAGTTCTCTATGCTTTGGGGGGTTTTTTGGGGGTTTTTTTGTTTTTTTCCTTTCTTAACTCATTGCAGAGTGAGATAGAAAGGGATACTTGAAACTGGGAAAGGATCCACTCCTGAAAGAATGTACACGGAGCAGTCACGCCCTCTTCTGTGGAATCCCAATTGTTAAAGTTACTGCTGAGTAGCCCTTATTTTATAAACTAGAACTTGCAATCATGGTGTGACCTGTTACAGTTCATGTAGACCGACTGTGAATTCCCAGAGCAGACCTACCTGGTCGCAGCTCTCCGGAAACCCGAGGTTCCCCATGCTTCTTCCCGGTGTTTCCTGTTGAAGAGAAGACAGGCAAAAGCACCCAGAATTTTTTTTTTTTTTGGGCAAACTAATAAGGGTATTTGTAATTGCTGCTTTTTTCAGAGGTAATTTCAAACACACACGATCGTTTAAAATGTGATTTGTAGCAGTCGGGAAAGAGGCATATCATGCCCTGTGTTCAAAAGTACAATCAGAGGTGAGAAGGTCCCTTTTGCTTGTACAGTAATACATGGAGCTAAATCAACACTGGTAACTAAGATCTAATTACGCCACAATAGATATGATTTTTATGTTACTGCATGCTTTTATTAGGCCATTGGCTTTAAAAATAAGAAGTCCTTACCAAGTACGATTTTATGAATGACCTTCTCATAAAACTGCGCTTTGCCAATAGCACAGTGAATGTATGCCAAATGCAAATCCATTCCAGAATCCATTGGAAATCTTGAGCTCAGCTGTGGTTCTGTAAGAAATGTGTGCAGTCCATAGGGCCTTTTTTTTTGTTCCTTCCAATTTTGTGATGAATTTATGATGTTTACAGCACAGTGTTTTGTGCCACAATCCTAACTTAGCTGAAAAAAAAATATTAGCTGTTCAATACAGATTTATTTGCACATGTTAATAAACCAGTATGAGGGAAATCCCAGTTGGCCAATGTCATCAAGGTGTACACTGCGTTACTTGGGAGGAAGAGAAGGCTAGTCAAGAAGTAAGATTAAGAGAAAGGTGAATACAATGGACTTTAAAACTAAGAACTGTTTAAATTTAACATGCTGTATTCAGCGATAATAATGAGTTTGTTCAGGTAGTTCAGGTGATACTAAAGCACTCCTTATTTGTGAAACAAATTTTAGGGTATGAATAACTGAAGAGGCGTAGAAATCATGTGAGTCGCTAGGGCGCACCACTGGAAAACTGCTAATCGGACATTTCTTTGAGGTCTCTCTCTCACGGAATTTCCTTCCTAGCTTAGAATTGGGTTTGCAATCTTCCCGTTATTTGTGTGAATATAAACAGCACTAAGATCAGCAGGCCTTTTAATCCTGAAGGATTTTCCCTGAGGTTATAATCTCAGGAATATCCAGTTGCGCATGCCATGTTCCCCCACCCCCCACCCCCCCCCGGCGCGGGCGAGCACACACACTCGCACACTCTTGAAGCTACACTGTATTGTAATATAGCAGTGGTGTGTGGCAGACCTGGAGAAACAAACTGTACCTAATAGTATGATGAAACCAAAGGCATCATAACCCATCATCATTCTCCTTCAAAATCGTAATTTCACACCCTTAACCTACAGCTTTGAAAACCTTTTGTATGTGGAAAATACCCAAGATATCCACTCGTCTCACAAAGTACGCGTGGCTATGTGATTACACTGATAAAACATCTCTCTACTGCGGCAACTGTGAAAATAACAGAAAGCAGATGGGCTTAAAAGCATTGACCTGAAAGCAGCCTTCTTTAAAAGCTTCTGTGACACGGGTGTCAGCCCATCTCTGGCAACCATCGGTCCGTCCTGCTCTTCTGCAGTATGCCAGTGCCTTTGCCTTTGTATGGTTTCCTGTCTCTTCAGTGATGATCAACCCCACTTGGTATCAAATAACAGTTTAGGTGGAAACTATATATCCTGCTTGCTGTTCTAACTCAAGGTTGACCAGTATTCTTAGACACGCTGAAGTGGCAGCAGTTAGGTTGGCACTGGTCAGTGTAGAATGAAGGTGGCGTGTACGGAAGCAGGTCGAGGCTGTATTAAGACCATGTAGATGACTTCACAGCTACTGCATGAACATACATCCAGGTTAGTAAGCTGTCGCGTCAGGCAGTAGATGCATGGTTCCGGTCCTGTGGTGATCCGTCTAGTAAATCCTTGTTTTTGCCGGCCAGGACAAAGGGGCAGAAACCAGTCTCTTGAATAGGTGTAGAGGGTGGGTTAGGAGGGATCAGAGGTCACTTTTCAAGAAGTTTTGTACGTGCTCATTTCTGGTTGTGCACAGGTTTCATAGGCCAGAGCAGGCTGCATTCAGTTTTTAAAAGAAGCAAAATTGTTTTCCACGGACACATTTGATCTATTTAACTGTGTCCCCTCTATATAGACTTCTTGTCTCTGACCACTTTGAAGGAGGACTCAGTCAACTTTCAAGGTGCTGTTTCGAAAGGCTGTCCTGGTCAGACGGAAGCGTGCTCCCCTCGGCCAGCGGGCAGATGCTGGGCAGCACGTGTCGGCTCAGGCCCGTGGCTGCGTGTGTTGGCCGCTGCGCCGCCGGCTTCTAGTGAAACGTCTTTTTTCTTAAAACTGTGTCTTGTTTGATGTATCTGGTAACACATAGACCTGACTATACATTTTACACTGTTTCATGGTTTTGTAAACTGGGTTTTTAGAAAGCACACGTGTTTTGTTCCAAGTACATTGCCCCTTCATGTGTGGAGTAGTGTTTAAAGTGGTAATAGAGGAGCCAGAAACTTCCTAAGCATTGTAAACTGTGTGGATCGATAATGACCTTGTGTGGGAGAGCAAAGAGGCAGGGGGTTGTAAAGAAACAAAAGAACTGCATCGTAGAAAAGGTAGTTTTAGACGAGGTAAAGGAGGGTGGGGAAAGTGTTGCTAATTTGTTTATTTCCCTGAACGAACTGGGAAGTGTGGTGAGCAGTTTAATTTTTAAGGAGCTGGTCTCAATTTTAGTACTTTTTAATTATTAAAAGAAATTATTGTTTCCTTCAATTTTGTCATCGTTTTGTCCCAGTTATCTAGGGTTTGTAGCAAGCATCCTGTGGCCACTCAGTTTTCTATAGTATTTGAAAAGGTAACTGTAATGTCTTTGACAGTATAAACAAAAAAGCAAGAATATGAGGCATAGAAAAATTGTCCTTTGAAAACATCAGTCATGGACCCTGGAATGTGAAGATGTCCCTTCCTAGTTAAAGGGTATATTGGTATATCGGTCGAGCAAGAACAGTGACCGCTGAAATGTTACTATAAAAAAAAAAAAAAGTCAATAAATGGGGCACTGTCTGTTGCAGCACTACTGTATCTTTTTGAAAGAATTAACAGTATTTAAAAGTTAATTCTGATGATGTTTTCACATTCACTAGACCTGCCTTTTTTTTCTTTATTATTTGCATCCCCAGATATTTAATACAAGTAGAATTTTGCATGGCTTGGGCATTCAGAGATTAAAAGGGTGATGACTCAATTTTAGTTTCTAAAGCCATGAAAAGTTGCTTTGAGACTGAACAATTCTGAATTCTTATTTATAATGAGACCCAATGTCCATGGTTCCCTACTGTAAAAGAATTGATCAGTGTCTTCATTAAAACAGCAAGAACTTATTAAATCTTGTAAATACCATGTTTCTTTTTAGATTTCCGTGTATGCTGTGAATCATTATTTTGAGGTGAAATTGTACAAAGGCATTTTAAAAGGCTATGCATGCATCGTATTTCCAAACAGTACATATTCGGAAAGTCAAAGATTCCTGCAAAATAAATTAATAAACTAAAAACAAACACTACATTCTGCATCTTTTCTGTGTAGTGAGAAATGATTTACAGTATCTCGCTAGACTCCCTTCCAGCATCCAGTCTCTAGGCCGAAATATGCTTTCGCAGAAACCTCATCTTCCATCATCTTTCTGTTCCTCTATTAATAAATATGTGTAGTAATGTCAGATTCGGGGCACTAAGTGTACATTAATTTTAAAAATTGGGTAGAAGTATATATAAAGTTCTATTTTAAAAAGGTGGACTACGTTAGGAGAAAGATAAAGATTAAATAGCAAACTACTGATTATTTCGTAGCTACAGTTGACCCTTGGACATCATGGGTTTGACCTGCACAGGTCCACTTATGTGTGGGTTTCTGTCATCACTCCAGCATCGTAGTGTCAATATGCTATTTTCTGATTTTCCTGTTATCTCCTTTTGTCTAGCTCACTTTAACAATATAGTATATAATATATATGCAAAAGATGTGATAAATGGCTTTGTTATCTGCAAGGTTTCCAGTCAACAATATCCTGTTTGGGAAACTCGAAAGTTACACGCAGATTTCTAAGCATGCAGGACATCCGTGCCCTGAAACCCCCGTGGTGTTCACTGGTCAGCGATAGCTTTTCAGAAGCTAATAATCACAGAACACTCAACCTTCATTTGCTAGAGTCTGTAGTCCACCTCCCAGCATTTACGCAGAAATCAGCACAGATGAATTCTAGTCTTTTCAGTAAGCGTATTTGCAGTCAAAATAGCTTTGACTCTGTTATGTTAATATAAAACTCTGTAAATACACCCAAAGACAGAAGAATTGTAAAATCATCCTTCATTTACTCCTTACCCAGCTTCCAAAATTACCCCTCTATAAAGCAGTTTTATTTCCTCTGTATTCTTATCCCCCTAACCCCGAATCATTCTGAAACATATCGCAGGCAGCACAGCAATTCTTCTGTAAATACTTTAAGTTGATTGATTTTGAGAAAGATTGGGGGAGGGTCAGAGAGCAAGGGTGCGAGAAAATCCCAAGCAGGCTGCATGCTGTCAGTGAGGAGCCTAACCCAGGCTGGATCCTGCCAACCTTGAGATTGTAACCTGAGCAGAAACCAAGAATCAGATGCTTAATCAACTTAGCTACCAGGCAGCACCCCTGTAAATCAAGTTTATTAATAGAAGCACCATATACTCCTACCACATCTTACAAAATATTATCAAATATCCAGTGTTAAAATTTCCAAGTAGCCTCACAATTGTTTTTCTTAAGTGTATTTAAATTAGGGTTTGTGTAGAATACTTTAAATTGTGCCTTATATCTTGGGTCTGCATACGTATTTTCTCTGCACATCTGAAACTGTAAGGAAACTTTCTGTCAGCTGTTTTGTTCCCTTCCCACATCTGACAGTACAGTAATGCGCAGAAAGAACCGCAAAGTTCACCTTAAAGCAGCATATGAACTATTTTTCTTATCCCCCTGCTCCCTTTCTCATGATTTCCCACAGCATAAGTTGTTCCTTTTAAATAATGGATTTAAGTGGGCCGCCTGGGTGGCTAGCTCAGTTAAGTGGCCGACTGGCTCAGGTCATGATCTCGCAGTTTGTGAGTTCAAGCCCCACATCGGGCTGTCAACACACAGCCCACTTCAGATCTTCTGTCCCTTTCTTCTCTACCCCTCCCCCACTGGTTTTCTCTTTCTCTCAAACTAAATAAACTTTAAATCAATCAATACTTTATTTTGAAATAGAAAATTACTTCAAATCTGTTAACAATAGTGCTTCCTTATGGTGCTCGTTTTTGGAATGAAGAGAGGCATCTCTGAGAATTACACTGTCTGTAATCTCCTCTCTCCAGGTATGCAGGAGCTAGGTTTCCCACACAGAAGGGTGGGCCGCTGGTGGACACAGGGCACCCAGTGTGGGTCTCCCATCTGCATTCCTCCAAAGACTTCCTACTTAACCGTGGCCTTTCGGTCTGTTTCTAGGACACTGCCCAGGTCATGCTTTGTGATTGGGCTTTCGGAGGTTTTAACAGGGTATATAATATGTGGGTGCTATTATGGTGCACCAGTTCCAAGTTCTCACATCAGACAGACTGCCTCATTTTTTCCTGCCTCTTAAAGGGTGACAGTGTGCTTGTGACCGCCTTTGCCTGACCTTCTGGTGGTAAAGAAATACAGAGTGTGGGGAAAATCAGGTCATTTTTCCACAGCCTAGCTTCCTCCAGGTTTGCACTGTGGGTTGCAAACAAAGTGCTCATTATTTTCTATTACTTTGGTTTTGACTGACTTGTGTGTGCATTTACCCTCTTGGGGACCCAGGTTGTTTTTAGGTAGTCCTGTTGCACTGGTCAAGAACCACTAACATATACAGCCTTTTTCAAAAATCCCGTCCTTCAGGGGCACCCAGGTAGCTCAGTGCTTAAGCATCCGAGTTTGGCTCAGGGCATGATCTCACGGCTTGTGAATCTGAGCCCCGCGTTGGAGTCTGTGCTGACTGCTTGGAGCATGGAGCCTGCTTGAGATTCTGTGTCCCCCTCTCTGTGCACCTCCCCTGCTTGTGTTCTCGCTCTCTGTCTCAAAAATAAATAAGTATAAAAAAATTTTTTAATCCCATCCTCCGATTTTTGTTTCTTTTCAGTCACAAAAAGTGATCTGCTTTGGGTATATGTAGTCAAAAAGATCTTTATTTGAAAGGCACTGAGGGAGGGCTGGGAGGGGAAAACTGGGCTAGGCATACTGACATGGCTTCCATTCCCTGTACCCTTTGACAAGGAGTCAAATGATCACACTTGGCAGGGGAACTATGTTAAGATTACAATTTGAATTGTTCTTCCCAACTTCTAAAGTAGCTAATGAAAACATGTTTAATGGTTGGAGAACAGGGAAGGGTGTTCTCGGGGTCAGAAATGACGGGGTGCCCCTGGGGACGTAATGAAGGCAGGAGCAATCAGTATCAGCCAGCCAGCCCACAGTTCCAGTCACCAAGGAAAACTGGCAAAGCAGGTCTGTAAGACCCCCCCGCCCCAACAGAGCCTGCGCAGACCCCCAAACTGTGAGCAGCAAATGGGAGAATGTTTGTGCTGGACACCATGGTTCATTCCAGAAGCAAGGCCCTTGGGGCACCTAGGTGGCTCAGTCGGATAAGTGTCCAACCCTGTTCTCAGCTTGCATCAGGTCATAAGATCAAGTCCCGCATCAGGTTTTGTGCTGACAGCCTCGAGACTGCTTGGGATTCTCTCTCCCTCTCTCCCCCTGCCCCTCTCCAGCTCACATACATGCTCATTCTCAAAATAAACATTAAAAAAAGCAGCACCAAGGCCCTTAAAGGAGTGGTTTGGTCCGTGAGATAAGGGTCATGATGCATTAAGTTACATCAAGGTACCACAATGAACTTGGAGGAAAACCTTGCCTGGCCTAGCTGAGGATTCCACGGAACAATTTTCACCCCCACCCCCGAAGAACACTGAAAGCCTTACCCACTGCTGCTTGCTTGCCTCGTGGCTAAAATCAAATGCTTAGCAGAACATGAAGCTTCCTGATCTTTCCTATACTCTGTAATCAAGCATCTTTGTGAGGAATATCCACAGAAAAAAGGCTTTAAGCTTCCTTTTTCATCAAGGATTGAAAGATCAGGACAGTGTGACCCACCTAATCCTTTATAATAGTCCTTAAAAATGAATAAACATGGAAAGATTTAGCATTCTGAAAGAAGGGCTCCAATCTTAGAGAATTGGAGAAGAGGAAACTTTAATTTCTCATGTTAATCCCAAACAAAATTGATAGCAATGTGGTATCTCTCAAAAAAGGGTCCATCATCAAAGATGCTTTCTTTCAAATAAAACGTCATTTTTACAAAATCCTAAACTACAAATGTAGGTAGTGAAACTTCAGAAAACTGTCAATAAAGAAATTATTGTAGAATTCAGAAGAGATGAAGAGCTAACACACAACAAATGTGAAATCCAGACCTAGGAGCAGAAATAATTAAAAATACAAGAAGGAATGAACAGAGTAAATCAAGAAGCAGTCAATAAAAACATGGGGGTAGGAGAATTTTTTAAAAATTACCTCCCAAGACAAAGGCGATATCAGAATTGTCCTACATTTCTGTAAAACTTGAACCGAATGGAGTTTGAGGCACAAAGAACATTAGAATCAGCTTTGTTAAATCTCCATGTAATAAAATGATATATCTCACATGACCTAAATGTTCTTTCAAATGTTTACCATTTTTAAAAAAATAATTCAAGAAAACCCCAAGCTTTCAAACAATTCTACCACATTTTTCTGACTGCAAAAGATGATGCCTAAAAACAAATCAAGCCACCAAAAAGAAAAGTAAAAATTCTTGTAACACAGCTCGTAATTAAAAACGAGACTTAAAAATAAGTCAGATTTAGATCAGGCAAATCCTCAACAAGAGGCATTAGCCAAGATGGGATGTCCATCTAAAAAGAAGGCTTTCAAGTCTTGGAAAACAGGGCAGAATGAATGACTGCAGTACATCTGTTTCAGAGAAAGCATCTGTTGAAAATCTACATGCAAGTCAACTGTGCACACCTAGAACAGATCTACACCCAAAGACTGGTCATTCGGAACTAAGTGAAATACATTTCCAGCACAAGGGGTCTCGGTGCCAACTCTAACAGTGCAAGAGAACGTGGCAAGTCACAGCTCAGCCGTGCTTGCGAAGCACGCGCTTCGTCTCCTGTGGCGGGTGTCAGGAATCCGGAGGAGCTAGGGGGAGCTCTGGGCACAAGCCGGACCAGAGCCCAAGCTTCCCAGCTACCCAACAGTAGAGAGCACCTATGAAAACCTTCGCGAGCCAAAATGGCATAAAGCAAAGCAGTTACAGTTCATTTATATGAAACAGTTTTTGAGCACTCCCAGACACAACCCCTCCCCCCCGCGAAATAACATCTTTGAAGGATTTTCTGATCCCTTAGGACACATCTTGCTCATAGATACACAAATCAGGATCAAGCACAGGTGCTCACAGCCAGTTTCAAGCAATGGCAGCTTGATGGGGAG